CGGCCATTGTTGAAGCCGAAGCTTGACTCTTCTGCTGTGAGTCGCCGGGAGATTTTCAGAAATGAGATATTTTGTGATTCTGTATTTCTGTTGGTTTAATCTTTAACCAAGGGAATACAAATCCGTTTGGTTCAACCGAAGTCAACCGGAACCATTTGGCCTATGAATTATTTATACTATACGAGTATACGCCTGTATATGCGTACATACACATGATTTTTTTTAATTATACTTTTGTAATTTTATATATTTGTGAGTTTATTAATTTTTGAATAAATATTTAAATCATACCATTGGAAATATACGATGATAATGTTTTTATTCTATATTATTTGATTGATAGAAATGAAAAAAACTGATAGAAAATACTATAATCTCAAGTTTAGAACAATTCCATACGCATCACTACACGTTTTTCATACGTATCCTTAAAAATATTAGATTTTATACCAATACATATATTATCATGTATACTCTTCTTTAATAAGTTTGTCGGGTTAAAAATATTTATATTTGAAGTTTCTGCGACATAGCATGGATACATACTTTGCGGCGTAGTGCGGATACGTACCTAATACTTTTTAATATCCAACTGATATGTTTCCGATTTTTACTCCCTAAATTTTACCAGACTAATTTTTTCAATGTTGATATCCAAAATAGCCATATCCAAAAGGTTAGATTGAATACTAATATTGAAATGGAAGAGAGAGTGACATTAATAAATAGATAAAATACATTGTTATCGTTTATATAAATGTCAAAGAAAACAAATAATAAAAACAATGTTATGAATGAGAGAAAAAGAGAATGGAGAGAATTGTGTGTCTTATTCCAATAGAGAGCAAAGATATATATATGATACAATTACTTGGGGAAGAGTAATAACTTGGAGAGGAAACTTAACTTGAAGAGGAAACTTAACTTGGAGAACAAGATAGAACCTTCTAAATACTTTTAGATTATGAGCTTCTAATGGACATCCACTTGATTGGGTTTATAACAAACAATAACTACAGAACGTTGATAACAAACGCGCATAACATAAATGAATCACCTAATTTTGTTAGTGAAACTCTAAAAGAATCTCTCTATACTTTTTACCAAATTTATTCGAGGGCAAAGTCATCGGGATGGAGCTGGACCAATGTGGAAGAGCTATGGTGTAGTGGTTCGTAGAGGTGGAGGAGACATGAGAAAGAGAAAAAAAAAAGGGAAACATTGTCTATTTCTTTGATTTAAATAAAGCTGAATTTTTTTGTATAGTAATGTTGTATATTAGATTAAAGATTAACAATCAAATGAATGATGTCTAACATTTAACTAAACCGTTTCCATATACAATTGGATTCCTCCTTGATGTTCTACGAACGTAAAATCTTTTCGCAACCTAACAAACTATTTCAAAACCACATAATTTACTTTTATATTGCTTCAAACAGCAGTTCCAAACTTCCAAATATGTTAATCTAAATTACTTTTGTTAATTATAATTAAATTTGCGCTTCATGGTATTTGAATATTAGATTATGATACGGAATAATTTATCTTACCAAACAAAAACATGTCCTAAAAATAAAGAAAAGAGAGAAAAAATCACTATAATGGCATAATATAAACTTCATCAATTTACTTATTTCTTAATCGCTATTTAGTTACATCATAAAAAAAAATCTAAAGCAAAATAAATAATTTTTCCACAATACAAATATTTATATTTGAAATTTGTGCGGCTTAGCGCGGGTACATACCTAATATTTTATTTATTAATACCCTTAATGTTGATATCCAAGATAGCCATCTCCAGAAAATTAGATTGAATACTGATATTAAAATGGAAAAGAAATTTGGTTATATATATATTTTAATCAAAATCTGGTTAATATTTAATGTGACATTAATAAATAGATAAATAAATATTATGCATTGTTACTGTGTATATAAATGTAAAAAGAAATAACGATAATAACAATTCGTTGATAACAAGCACGCATAACAGAAATAAATAACCTAATTTTGTTAATCTAAGGAAACCCTAAAAGAATTTCTCTATGATTTTTACCAAATTTATTCGAGGGCAAAGTCATCGCGATGGAACTAGACCATGATTTATGCTATTATATTGGTGGTTGGTGCCCAAGTGGCTCACATATCCCTTGTAGCACAATGTCTGAAACTCACTAAAGAATGCTTCAGATTGTTCTACCTAAACGCAGGCAGTATTAGCGTCATAGATTTTCCGGATGGTCCTAGCGAAAGAGGAGTTATTTGTTGCTCTAAGAATAAGAAAAGAATCACAATATTTGTATCTTCCAAATTTTAAGCCACATTTTACTTAAAAAAAACATCTGAAAGCTTAAAAAACATCATTACTAGATTTTAACGAAATCAGATTATAATCTCTCTATGAGTGTTAGTCTCTGTCTTATCATAGTAGAACTGATCGGTACCAAGATATAGGGCAATCAAATGTTGATCAAAACATCGAAAATAAGAACAAGAACACAAGTACAATAAAATCATGGAGTTTCAACTCTTACAAACTTGCAAACACAAAGCAAAATGGAAATAAGGAAATGTGAGTACTCCTTGTTTCTAGGCAAAAGAGTAAAGGCACTTATTTGAA